GAAGTTTGAGTACCGCCCTGTCTCAATAATAATATTATGTGCTCGTGTTTGGTTCATCGCATCGGAAACAAAAAAGCGAAAGAATTTGGAACGATCTTTTTACAATTATTTTAGTCAGTTGTATACAGTCAGTGTCAGTCGGTAACGCGTTTGAATAGTGGTGTCTATTGCGTGACTCAAACGAAATAAAAAATGGCACATGTTTATGCGGATCGGTTTCCCAATCGAGTGCAACCAACCCTTCGTGCTTTTGTTAATGTAGTACAACGGGCTCGTGAATCAGGTGACTTAAGAGCACACAGGGGACTGCATGCCGGTGCTCCAAGACCTCACGATCAAATACAGGTCCGCACTGAAATACTTGTCGGCAGGATACTTTATAAAACAAGGTAAACAAATTTTTTTAATTTTTTTTTATTTTTACACACATATTTTGGTTTATCTTCCTTTTACAATCATTATCTGAAAATTAATGACTCAACTTCAAAGTATTGTGTCAACTGGAGTGTTCGTGTCCGGTGACTGAGTTCAATCGTCGAGACATAATACTCGCATATTCAAGATAACTACGCACCTATGCAAAATATAGTATCTTCAAAGCCCTTATACCGTGAAATTGTCTACAAGTCCTGTCAAGGAAACCGGATGACTTAAGCGCTTCCGAAGCTGTTTGAGAAAAATTGGGAGCAAATGTTAATCTTTTGTGATAAAGAACACTCAAATCTCTGATTGTATCACAACTATCCAACAACGCACTCTCTATATTATAGTTGAAAATATGTAGGGTTTTTTCCTGCTAAAACTAACGAGCTTGCACTTGTTGGTATTTAGATGTAAATTGGTTAATTAGGCAGTTTTCCGAGAATTGCATTGGAAACCATGAAACTCCAATTGCAACGCATCGCGTGCTGTGGAATTCTGCATTTACATCGAAAACCATGAACCCGACGCCGCTAATAGATATAACGGATCTCATCACGATGACCAATCAGTAAACGGTGCACCAGACCTTTTATTCCACCCTCTCTGTATCGAAAACCTTTGTCATTCTGCTTTGTTCTACTTTGCTCTTCGTAACAGTGCTCATCGACACACAATTATTTGCCTACGACCTTTGACATTCGACGTTCCAACGGCGTTTCCAGTAATTCAGCCACTCATCTGTCTGGCGCCGCCTAAAGTACACCTATAGTCGTATGTTCACATACGCACGGTCTCCTGCTCCTTTCTAGGGCCACTTGTTACCCCAAAAAACAGTGGCGCCTCGTGACAATAATGTTATATCGAAACACGACAGAACAGGTGTTATTCAGGTATTGAAAGAATCGAGCAGTGAAGCGGAACAGCAATCATCTATTGGAACTGTAAGGGTATCATTGTCATTGAAGGGTAGGCTATTGTCTACTGTATCGCCAGAATCGACGACATCAAGCGGTCATACGGACTCGGCTGTCGACGCGAGCTGTTGTTTACTTTCGTAGTGGACAACTCTGATATTTCTACAATATTACACAAGAAATGGGTTGGTTTGCTAGTCTTAACATCATTGTGACCGAAATGGTTCAATATGCACTTTCTAATGTACTGTCCAGCGGCCATTTCTGAAAAAGAAATATTTCCAGGTTTTGCTCTTGGCCGTTTTAGTAAAAACATAGGTTTTTAAATTGGGTAATTAATCAACAAATGACATTAAGTTTTTCTAAGTTAAGCCAAAATTTGTAGTCAGTAAGTAAGTTTCATTAAATTAAATATTTCAAACACACATGACAACAGCGCGTCGGTCTTTCATCACTCTTATCGAACCGGCAATCGATTGCAAACAGTAACAGTGGTTAGTTATCGTTCATTTAAATAATCACTATTATAACGCTTACACCCTGTATATAATAATAATAATAATATTTATTCACTCAATGTACAAAGATAACAAACAATATGAGTAAATAAATATAAAATCAAAACAGGCCCAATAGAAGGCATAGCCTGTACATGGACCAATAATTTAAGTTGAAACTGTAGAATGCAAATGACAAAAAAGGACAAAAATTAGCTACAGTAGATTATGTATTTAGTTGATGTTCGTATTTATGAGTTTATGAATTTCAGTCCTAGATATAGAATGTAGCCACTTTTTTAAATTTCTTTTGAAACAATTTCCGAAACGTAAATCTTTTAAGTCTTTAGGTATAATTTCATAACATTTTGGCGCTAAATAGAGATATGATCGCTGCATTATAGATTTATGCGGTTGAGGAACTACTGTGCCACGAATTTTGTACCTGGTATAATGATTATGTTTAATTTTTTGGAAGGTGTTTACAAATTTATGGTAGAGAGTGATACTGTGTAAGAAATAAAGCTGTCTTATATCATACATTCGAACATCTGCGTATAATTTTTCAGTGGGATAAAGTTTCGGTTTTTTAAATATCATTTTTAGAATACTTTTTTGAAAAACATCTAAATTATAGATATGTGAGGAACATGCAGCTCCCCATGCTAATATACCAGATGTGAGATGAGGCTCAATCAGTGCATGGTATAATGTTCGAAGATATTTTTCTGTCAATATATTCCCAAGGTATTTAATTTTGTAGGATACAAATCTAACTTTCTTTAAAATATAATTGACATGGATGTCCCATCGTAAGTGAGGATCCAAGACCACTCCAAGATATTTTATGTTGGGCCCTCTATTAATTTGCATTTTTTGATCATTAATATTGAAGGAGAAATTTGTGTAATTTGGCAGATGTCTAGCATAAGATCCAAATGGTAAAAAATGTGTTTTAGAGTAGTTAATGCTTAATTTTCTACTGTTAAACCACTGAATAATTTTGATAAAATCATTTTCAATTACATTTTTCAGATCAGACCAGTCAGTGCCTTCATATAATATTGCAGTATCATCTGCAAAACTAGTTATTTTGCCAACACAATTAATTTGGAAAATATCATTTAAATATATATTGAATAACAGCGGACCTAAGACAGTTCCTTGTGAGACACCACACTTAATATACATTTCTTTACTAAATGATCCTGATATCTGCACAGATTGTGGGCGATTTGACAAATAACTTTCGATCAGTGATTACGCGTTTCCTCTGAAACCAATTCTCTCCAATGCTTCTAATAATAATTTGTGATTAACTGTGTCGAAATCTTTCTTTAAATCAACAAAAATGCAGATTGAAGGGATTCTGTTATCAATATTTTGATATATTTGATTTACAATTTTAGTTATTGCGTCCGATGTAGTCTTCCCTTCTGTAAATCCATATTGATTTTCACTTAAAATTTTGAATTTTGTGAGGTATCGAATCATTCTAGTAGATACAACTTTTTCAAAAACCTTTGCTACACTGGATATTATTGATATTGGTCTATAGTTGTTAACATCTGTTTTTGTTCCTGATTTATGTATCGGTATTATATTACTTTTTTTTAAAATTGAGGGATATATGCCAGATTCAAAGCATTTGTTGATTAGGTAAGTGAGTGGTTCTGTTATGTCCTCGGCTATAATTTTCAAATGTTCGCTTTTAATACCATCGACCCCAGGACTTTTCCGATTTTTTAAGGACATAACAGTGGTGTATACTTCACATTGCTCGACATTATCCAAAATAAATGAGTTCAAAGTTCTTTTTGGAGGCTGAGTATTTTGTACATTTGCTTGTATATTATTTGCTAAATTTTCGCCTATGTCAGTAAAGAATTGTACAAATTCATCGCATATCTGTTGAGTATTTTTTAATACTGTTCCCGATGTTGAATTTAACTCAGTGACACACTCTTTAACTTTTGTTTTCCCAGTAATCTCATCAATAGTTGTCCAAAGCCGCTTAGGATCATTTAAGTTATTATTCAATTTATTTAGGTAATGTTTTCGTTTGGTTTGCCTTACAAGCTCTATAAATTTATTTTTATATTGGTTGTAACAGTCGGTATTCTCTGTAGTTGGCGTTAGTTTCATTACATTATATAGTCTTTCTTTTTCTATTGCCGATGTTATTAATCCTTTGGTAATCCAGGCATTTCTGCTTTTCTCTTTGTGACTAATTATTACTTTATTGGTACTAATATCTATTAGTTTTTTTATTTTATCTATGAACAGTCCCATTGCTTTGTCTATATTATTTATAGAGTATAATTGTTCCCAGGATTCTTGTTCGACATTTGATATTAGTTTTGAATTGTCGACAAAAAATTTGTAATTTTTCTGGTTGTTATTAACGGTAGGGATGTTAGAATGTTTTTCATTTGAAGATATCAGTAAAATAGTGGAGAAGTGGTCAGTAATATCGCTTTGTAGGATTATTGGTATACAAGTAATTTTGTTGGATAGGTCTTTCACAAAGCAGTGATCTATACATGCGCCACTGATGGACCTTGTAGGTAGGTTTATATAGGACAGAAATCCGTTACTTGATAGGATATTCAAGTATTCATTTGTGATGGGATCATTGTCCAAAATATTTATATTGACATCTCCCAAGAAAATATGTTGCTTTAAATGAACTTTATTTTGATTTTGAAAAAAAAAATCGATATTCTTTAAAAACTCGTGGGGTTCTGAACATGGCGGACGATAAATTGCAGATACCTCAATTTTGTTATGGTTCATTTGGATCATTATGTTTAAAATTTTGATTCCATCGGTGAAAGTGAATGTATCATGATTATATTGCAGTTCATTTCTTACAAAAACTATCACCCCATCGTTTTGGTTATAAGTGCCAAAGTTATACAGCGTGTCATATAAACAAGAACAAACAATATCACAAAAGCCACTTGTGTGACCGTTGTTTGCCATAGTCTAAACAAACATCTAACAAAAAAATCTTAATAATAGAATTTCAAGTGATAAAAGAGACGGCACCGTTTGGAGAAGCGATTGCCAACCTTCGTAAAGAAGACAACAGCGTTGTAAGAAAAAACAAAGAAGTCAGAAACAGTACTACATAATCTATTTGAGTCGATGTTTTAAAACTCACCTGCCACCAAGGGCTGGTTTCCTTATACGTCTCTGTGCACATTTTCTCGTTGTGATTGGTGGTCCTGTCGCCGTCATTGGCGTGGATCGCGTTTCCGCCCTTCGCGGTCGTGGACTGGTTGGCAGGCTTCCGATACGCCACGTTGATTCCTGGAACGAAAGGAAATCGCATCCTATCAGTATCTTATAATTCTTACCGGATGCGGTGACGGTTAGAGAGAAGACCCGCGCGTAACAAATTTTGGTCTTTACGGAGAACGTATGCAGATTACCAGCAATCAGATATGCAGTAAAAACTTGTGGTGCGTGTCTTTTAACAACTATACCGGGCAAGGGCGTATCCAGCGCAGGACGAAGGGAGTCAGCTGCCGCTCCCTTTTCCCTAGCTAGGCCAAAGTTGAATTATAAAAATTAAATTGTTCATGACCAGAACTTTCTAGGATTATATAAAATGTATTTTCGATATGAACTTAATTTTGCTAAAAGCACTATTCAGGGTGTAATTTAATTGATCGCTAAGAATACAGGATACAGGGTGTTAAAATTTGAAGAAAAAAATCGTTTTCCTATCATAATTTTAGATATACAGGGTGGCGCATCGAAAACGAAACAGACATTCACTGGGAGCTCTTTTTTTTTGAAAAACGCTCAGACCCGTCGATTTTGTTTTCGAGGGGGACACAAGTTTGGCAAAAAATCACGTTAGCACGTGCAGCCCCCTAAGCGGGGGTGACACCACCCCCAAATCTTAAATGGAAAGGGGGGTCGAGTGATACCTTATTTTAAAGGTCTTTCAATTCCCTTTATAATGATATAAAATTAATGTACTTCAGTTCAGTAGTTTTGAAGATTTATTGATTTAAAGTTTAAATAAAACTAATACATCATCATTAGTGGAGATCAATACATTTGGCAGCAAAGTAATTTAAAAATGAAGAATGAACTGACCCGTTAGGCAAGTAAATGTTGAAAATGGCCACCATGACTCTCCATGCAATAATAAAGATTTTGCTCAAAACGTTGTCGCACATTTTGCAATATTTGAGTAGCAATTTGAAGGCACTCATTCGCAATTCTGTGTCGCAGGTCTTCTAATGATGTTGGCTGAGTAGCATAGATTTTGCTTTTTAAATGACTCCACATAAAGAAATCCAAAGGTGATAAATCTGGCGATCTTGGGGGTTATCCAATGGCACCTCTTCTACCAATCCATCGATCTGGAAACGTCTGATCCAAATATTGTCGAACACGTAATGCGTAATGTGGTGGGGCACCATCCTGTTGGAACATCAACCTATTCGCAATGTACCGCCGATCATTCTGATTTCCAATTCTGGCTGTTAATGCAGGATCTATGGCGTCTTCCAGTAATTCCAAATACATTTCACCGGTCAAATTTCCAGGTAAGAAAAAAGGATCAACTAAATGATTGCCAAAAATATCAGCCCAAACATTTAATTTTTGAGGCTGCTGTGTATGAACCTCATGATAAATACTGGGATTAGAATCGGACCAATATCGGCAGTTATGACGATTTTCTACGCCATTTAAGAAAAAGGAGCATTCGTCGGAAAAGCAAGTGTTGAATAGAAAATGTTCATCGTTTATAATTCGTTCACTCATATCTTCATAAAATTGTAATCGCCGATCAAAATCGTCTTCATTAAGTTCTTGTACCAGGTGAATTTTATACGGATGAAATCTATGGACCTCTAGAATCCGTTGGACAGTACGTCGACTCGTCGACTAACACCACACACAGTCTCCAATTTGCGGGTACTTAACGTAGGATCTACATAAACTTGCCCTAAAACCCCACTTGCTTCGTTCCTTATGGGATTTTCAATGTTGCGTTTTTTATTGGCGACTGACCCAGTTTCCCGAAATTTAGCTACAAGTTCTAGAACATACTTTCGATGCACGTTACTGTTCTTATGTCGCTCATTAAATATTTCGGTTGTTCTATTAGCGCACTGATTATTTCCGAAAAATATTTCGATAATTTCAACTATTTCTGCTGTGGAATATACCATGGTTAATTTATTTAATAAAGCGTTACAAGTTATTTTAGCAACAAAGTTTGGTCAAACCAATCGCAAACTATGTACTAAATTCCTATTTAAAATAAGTACGAGATATTTCCTTATCTTTCTTCAAGAAATAACTTTTTTGCCAGAAAAATAAGCTTCAATAGCTATTTTCAACAACAAAATGATAAACAAACCATGGGCGTAGTGAAGAAAAGCATTTACTTATTAAGTAAATTCTTTTAGTCAAATTTCTTCTGAAAGTAGTACAAACTAATCTGATGTACCTATTAAAGTCTACTTTAAGCTTTAAATCAATAACTCTTCAAAACTACTCATTATAAAGGGAATTGAAAGACCTTTAACATAAGGTATCACTCGCCTTTTTTCCAAAAAAAACTGAGATGTCGGTGAATACGTGTTTCGTTTTCGATGCGCCACCCTGTATATCTAGAAATACCCCAATCCAAGGTGACGCACATTTGGCTCAAAATCATTGTTTTCACAAATTGAATCCGTGACAGCTTTTTGGTTCATTCATTACGTATGCAAAGCTAATTAACAATCAGCTTATTCCTCTTTCCCATTCTTCACATCAACAACATCTCCGTGCGGATTATATTCATTATATTCATCCAATTTCTCAGGAGGATTGCGATATTGAACGTGGGCAATCAACTGCAATCGAGTCCGTACAGAGCCTCAAATTGCAGGAGATTCGAATCAAAAGATTTTGCTAGCGATCGATGCGATTCCAACAAATTAGCGAACTGGCAGTTTGACGCAATCCAAAACTCAATTCTAACCACTTATAATGACATTTTGAGTGGATGCGATTCGTTGGAGCAGAGGCGGTGGACTACATCACCGACGCTCAACGGGAAGTCCCGTTATCGGAATAGTTATTTATGTACCTGGGGCGCCAAATGACGCACTGCACCTTGGACTCAAGATTATAATCGCCTTTATTGATGAATGGCGGCGCTAGAGGATATATGGACACACGAGTATCAGCTTTACGAGGCCTCTTTCATTTCCAAGTCAAAAAGACAACATTTAATTGAATGATCTGAATTATTCACTAGTATATTAGTATATCAATTTTATTGCTCATTAAATGATGATAAAGATTACCTAATCAAACACAAATTAAAATCGACGAGCTTTTAACCTTACGGAATTGTTTCAAGGTTGCATCGTAACTAACAAGCGCTATTTCAATAAGAGAACATCGATGGCCATTTATACATGATACCGATGTGTCTACAGTGGACCCCCGATAATCCGGCCCCCTGTAATCTGACATGTTTTTGAATATGTATTACATACATATAGTCAACGCCAAACAAAGTGGCGTGCACGTCATCACGATAAAAATTGCCCGACCTAATGCCTAGGTTTGTATCACAAACAATTGCTCTATTGCAGTTTCATATTAATGTGATATATAAATTGTAAAATGGTCATTACTCTCTTATTATGGTTAATAGTCATATAAACATTGTTATTAAAATATCACATAAGTTGCTTTCTGATAAATTTAGACGCATTATGCGAAATAAAATGTTTTGCAAACGCTCCAATCACTTATCGACATGTAAACGCACTAAACCGATTTCGCAGCGTTGACACATTGTCACCTTGAAACTTATTTAAACTGGGAACTGACATTTGTATTAATTTTGACACTGAATCAATTTGTGGCATTTCAAATCTTTATAAATCCTTTGGCCCCGCATACTGTAAATCAACAACTGTTTGTTTCAAAACAAAATTATTCATTTTACGAGTAGATAAAGGCAATTTTGGTATGTAAAGATGCCCAAACAGTTAAATAGTCGGTGTAAGGAACTCGTGGCCTCGTTAATGCACTACTTTGAGCAAGAAAGGGACAACAATGGGCCTTTGTTGCCTTTAAATGCTGTTCAAGAGGTAGGTTACTAATAATTATATGTAATGTATATTAATAATAGTGAAATTTTATTTCATTTTTTGTAGCGTGTTGCTGCTGCTTTAAAAATTAGTTTAAGGACAGTTAGTCGTATTTCCGAGGGTGTGAAAAGTGATGCAAATTTAGAATCGCCCAAGAAAAAGCGGAGTTATATTAAACGTGTAACCAACACAGCGACATTGGATACAAGTGCCATTCGAGAAGTGATCTATAATATGTATCACAAAAGTAAGATCTTATTATAATAACTTATCAGAAATTTGCATTAATTTGTTAACTAAATTATAATGTCATATTACACATGGTTTCAGAAGAACAAGTTACGATACAAACTTTATGGTCTCGATTAAGAGATAGGGCATTATTTGATGGTAGTGCCACGTCTTTAAGGCGGTTGCTTAGAGATCTTGGATTTAAGTGGCTTAAGGACAATCCGCGACGAGGGCTCATGGAACTACCAAGTATAGCTTTGAAAAGGGTGGAATTTGTAAGGCAATACAATCAAGCCAAGGTTGAGGCCTTATACCAGTTTGTCTTCCTCGATGAAACTTGGATATTTCAAAATGGGACCATAGGTCGCTCTTGGCAAGATGGAAACCAAAAAAGCGTGAAAGCTATTAAAACAGATGGTAAAAGGTATGTACTTTTACACAATTTGCACTATAAAATTTAAAACTAATATATTTTAGATACATTATATTACATGCTGGAAATGAAAATGGGTTTATTGAGGGTAGTGAAGCGATATTTTCTTCGAAAACAAAATTGAGCGATTACCATGGAGAGATGAACAAGGACAATTTTTTGAAATGGTTTCAACATCAGTTATTAGAAAAATTGGAGCGTCCATCTATGATTATACTGGATAACGCCCCTTATCACAGCATGATATTGAACAAAGTGCCCAACAATGCATGGACAAAAAAAAATATCCAAGACTGGTTGACAAATCAAAACATACCATTTTTAAACACAATGTTTAAAACAGAGCTATTGAGTATTGTTGCTCGGTACATAATGCTTCTTAATTATATATATTTTGGTCGACAGTTTATATTTCTTTTGTTTATTCCTATTCTTAAAATAACTGCTTTTTTTGAAACAAACCACCTAAAATATACGTGATTGATGAATTGGCGGAACAACATGGGCACAAAGTTCTTCGTCTGCCTCCTTACCATTGTATATTTAACC